TAAGATGAGTGGACTTCAACTCCCAGAATTCCCCAGCCAGGATGTTTTAAGATGGGTGGATTTCAACTCTCAGAATGCTGGCTGGGGAATTCTGGGAGTTGAAGTCCACCTATCTTAGAGTTGTCAAGGATGAGAAACATTGATCCAGTGTCTTTTAAACATCTCCAGCAAAGGAGAGACCATCCCTTCCATGAGAATCTGTTCCTCTGATGAATTGCTCTTAACATTAGGGCTTTTTTTCTGAAAACCAACCAAAATCTCTGGAAAATAATGGAAGACATGTTTCTGATGCTGGAATATTAGTGCGAAACAGGCATGGCTCAGGAGCTCTGAAATCAAATCTCCTGAAATGTTGATTTCTTACCTAAAAGCAGCTGTACGGCTGTGTCCCTTCCCTCCAAATTCAGTTGTCAGAGCAATGATGGAAAATAGAAGGCTTTAAACCAGGGTTGGGCAAGCCACATCTATGGGCTCCAAATGTCCCCAGTCCGATTTTTGACATAGTCAAAGCAGCTGAAAGTGGCACAGCTGAAATTTAATGGCAAAAGGTTAGTTTTCAGTATCAAGTGTTCTGGTGTGTGGGTGTGTGTGTGTTTGTGTGTGTGTGTGTGTTCCCTGAAAAAATAGGACTGAAATAAAATTCTAACATTTTCTAGTGACATCACGGCCGTGCTCTTCAGGAGTGCAGTTAAAAATGAAATAAAATAAACAGCTCTTGCCTCCCTATGTTTTCTCTCCGTCTTTCTCATGTTCCTGCAATAAGGAGTTTAGCTAAATAAGGTTAAAATTGGCTTGAATTTCTCCTTCAGCATGCTGTCGGAGCTCAGCCATTGCATCCTTTGTGAACCAGACCATCAAGTTAAGCCGCAAGAGGGTTTCGCTGTTTGGATTTCACATGCTAGGTGAGCACGCCGCGATTGTGTTGTGTTAACCTGAGTTTGGGATTAAGCATGTTATAAGAACTTAGCCAAATTGTTTCCACTGTAGGGATAATAGCAGCTGGGGCAGGGGTGGGATTGGAGAAATGTCATCAGAGAAAGGATTAAACTGCCTTCCTCCCCCACAGCTATTTTTATCAAATTTCCTTCTAGAGAGTTAGCCCTACTGAAGGGGAAAGAACCGTTTGCAGATAAGCTTCACCAGTTGCCGATAAGAGATCATTGTTGTTTATCAGCTCACAATGCCATTCTGCACCACACCCAGCAACGATTTTATGAACGGTCACGCTCTATAAATAATTATCAAGCTTTGCACCCTCTACTTTTCTTTTCCTTCTGACCTCTCCTTTTACCATGGCTGCCAGATCTGGTTGCAAAAACACGAGCCATCATTAGATGGTAGCAAAGAGACACAGAAAACAAAGCGTTTCCTGTCATCTAGTGCAGGGTTTCTCAACCTCAGCAACTTTAAGATGGGTGGACTTCAACTCTCAGAATTCCCCAGCCAGCCATGGTGGCTGGGGAATTCTGGGAGTTGAAGTCCACCCATCTTAAAGTTGCTGAGGATGAGGAACCCTGATCTAGTGGTCATCTAGATTTCTGGGAGTTGAAGCCCACCCATCTTAAAGTTGCTGAGGATGAGGAACCTGATCTAAGTGGACATCTAGATTTTTGCAATCTGATATCCTCCCTTCTATCTACCTTCTCTTCCAATAATCCAAATATACGTGTGGGTTCCCCCCAGATGATACTCCATATATCTAACATGTGTTTATGACCTAACAGATTGATACTCTTGAAGTCTTGTTAGTCTTCAAGGTGCCACAAGACTGGAATCATTTTTATTTTGCTGTTCAGATCCACATTCCCACCCCCACTTGAGCTTGATGGTTTCAAGGGTGCCTTCCAACATTTGAATTAAATATAAAGCAGATGATAATCTGAACATTAATGCTTCATTGGATTAGCTCTGGCCATGGGAGAATCTCAAAGAACAGATGACTTTTTTCCCCTCTAGTTCCAGCAAGAAGGAGCTGAACATTCCACATAAAAGGGAATCTGAACAGCATTCAATCAGTGCATTAACTGTGCAGTGTGGTAGGAAGAGAGCTGTGTTAGTCTATGGAGGCAAAAAATCAGGAGGATCAGGAAAAGACCTCCTTTTCAGGTTGACAAATTTTGCTAAAGGGCATCAGCTTTTGGGAGACATCAGATAGGCTTCAGGCGATCTCAGAAGGTGGCAATAAATACATTGCAGCTATCAAGTGATAAGCTACTTGTAATGTCTTGCACAGGTCTTACCTGTGTTGGTATCACCTGTCTCCCCTTCCCTTCCCCACTTCGCCTCGTCCCAATTTAAATCCTACATCAGTGGGGTACTCCATGCAATGAAGGAAGTGAACGGTAGTCCATGACAGCTTATGCCTTTTAATAAAATATTAGTCAGAGACGGTGCCACCAGATTCCTTCTGATTTTTGGCTAACCGGGCAGCACTATCTAGGTTTACTCAGAAGTCAGCCCCATAAATGACAATAAGGCTTTCTTCCAGTGAGTGGATATCTTTCCCTTGCATCACACACTCCAGCAACTCAAACTCTGAAATGCCATTCAATGCGTAATTGAGGATCAGTTTCAGGTTAAAAAGGAACCATTTCAAATACCGACAGACATGATTAGGGATGGAGAAAGATTCCTATTTCTCCTCTAGCATTTATTGACCTGTGGGGAGAAAACCCTGATAGCTGGAATAAGATGTCCTTCAATTGCAGAAGGCAGGTGTAAAGTTCTCAAGATGAGACACGGCATATATAATGTATGCAAACACTAGGAAGAAGAAGATCCTTTTAAAGAAAAGGATCCTGAATGAAAATCTGAAATTTATATACCCACAATGGAGGACTGGTTGGTGAAGATGACAGAATTTGCAGAGATGGCAAAGTTGGGGGCGGCTGGTGCCTTGAGGATGCTCCCTGAGCCTAATCATTTTTAGTTTACTATCAATCTTGGAAGATATTTATTATTTGTAGGGCTATTGTTATATGGTATTTTAATTAATATTTATTATTTTACTATAAATCGCCCAGAGTCGCTTTCAGGGAGATGGGCATGAAAAAGGTGGAATGAATGAATGAATGAATGAATGAATGAATGAATGAATGAATGAATGTGTGTGTGTAGGGAGCCATGATGCTTAGAGCAAGAGGATAAAATATAAATGCATTTATAACTATTGGAAAGAAGATTGGAAGCCACTTCTTTGTATTTTTTTCTTTTTCTTTTTTTTTCTTTTTCTCTTTCATTTCTTTTTTGTTTACTGACCACTTTTCTTTTACTTGACTTTCTTTTTTTCTTTAAATTGGTATTGTTTTTATTCTGTAAAAAAATTCTTCAATAAAAGTTAATTAAAAAAAAAAGAAAACCTGAAATTTATAAAGAGGTGGTCAGAGGTAACCCCTGTCCCCTGTTTTTACATATTTATTACAGAGGCTGCAATTAATATGGACAGTGATTAATCCAAGCTTTATAAAGGGGAAAGAAAATTGACTGCATTTACAGATGATGTAGCTGAAATGGTAGAGCAAGAGAACTGCTAAACATACTAATTACAACCAATTCAGCCTTTTGGGAACAACAGATGCAAAGACAGAAATGAGAAGGGAAGATATGAAGGACAAACAGCTTGAAGCAAATCGGGGGGGGGGGGTAGCTCTGTCATCGCCTGGAGGTGACGTCTCCAGGTGCTGCTGAACAAAACTCCCACATCTCTTTCTCTGATGCTGCTGGCTGGGGCTGCTGGGAGTTGTAGTTGAGAAACATCTGCAGGGCTATACACTTCCCACCCATTTTACGTATTTGGAAAGCAAAAGTAAGGAGAGATTTAAGAGGGAAGGTATTTTCTAAAGAGAGAGAGAGAGAGAGAGATTGATTAAGGGAGTAATAAATTAAACTTAATAATAAATTAAAAGTAATAAAATAAAAGGCACTGTTATAGCCTAGGCATAATCTGCATGGATGCGGAGCACAGATGTAATAAAGTAAATTTAAGGAAATTGGAAATATTAAGGTGAGCAGAAAGGAAAACAAATAAAGAGGTTGGGTGGTGTTACTCCCTCTGACACTTTCTAGAAGTGTGAAAGTCCCTTTCAGCTCCTGAAGACTACAGACACACATCCACGTAGTGTTCTTGGCAACAAGACGGAAGTGGTTCCAGGATGCTTTTCAACTTCCCAGTTAGCCTCGTCCCTGGGATTTCCTGGTGGTCTCCTATCCAAGGACTAACAAGATCTGATACTGCTTAACTTTTGGAGAATAGCCAAGGTTGACTCGATGCTGCCTCTAGCAGGGCGAGGGGCAAAAAAGCAGTGATGGAAAAGGACTGGATATGGAAAATCTCCAGCGCTTCGGTCTAATATGGCCGGCAGAGGTTCTCATCTGACCAGACTGAAACCCAGCTTGTGGTGAGTCCTGGTTTGGAACTAGGGCAGTGTTGTCCAAACTTGGCCACTTTAAGATAAGTGGACTTCAACTCCCAGAATTCCCCAGCCAGCATGGCTGGCTAGGAAATTCTGGGAGTTGAAGTCCACTCATCTTAAAGTTTGGACAACACTGTCCATTGGCCAAGTTTGGACAACACTGAACTAGGGCAATTTGGGAATTCCCACTGTTATGCTGGTGGAGTGCTCGGAAGATGACTGGTTTGTTTTTAAAAGATGATTTGATACAACAGTCATCGCCGTATGACTGCAGAGGGGTCGAGAGCAAACCACGATGCAATGTAGAGGGACCTCATCAAATGCTACCCTTGCATACTTACAGACCAATGTGAGATGAATCACATTTTGTCATTTGCCTCCTCCCCTCCCCCTGCTGCAGGGGCTCCTGTGTGACGCCTGACGTGGCCAGCAAGACTTGACAACATTTTGAGAGAGGACTTTGGGGCTGTGAGAGTGTCCCACAACTCATTGTGGGCTGGAGGTCATGTGTGGCCCGGTGGAATGGAAGCATTCATCCTACCAGCTCGATACAGGCTGCAAGATGTACTATTGACCCATAGAACCGTCTTGCCAATTTTTCTTTTTATTTAGAAAAAAAACAGCAGACACAAAACCAGAGAACACCCACAGCCCTCCTCCCCAAACCGATACTTGCACCCTGACAAGCATGAATGTTGGTTGTGAACTGATGACGTGAAGCCAGCTTCTTACGGTCCCGTGGATCTGAGATGTCTGTATCTCTCAGACATGCAGGTAGGTTTTCGACATCCAACAATCTCCTTTTCACAGCTTAGTTACCACAAACAGTTCACTAGAGATGGAAACAAGGTCCTTGCCCCCCCCATCTCCTCCTATCACAGTTTGTTCTTGACCGAAGATGGAGAGTAATTCTATTTTTATAACCATCACAAGTTTTCTCCTGCAACAACAAAAGGTGATTTCCAGAGCATTATTATTATTATTTTTTGCAAGTACAAACATAAAAGTTCAAAACAACCCCGCTCCTTTGATTTAATCCAGAGAGAGGCAGCAACCTTCTTCCAATAGGCTGAAACATGGGCATTAAAAAATCTACATTATCTTCTCACTGCAGGAGAGATTGTGGTTTTAACACTGAAGGATCCAGCTTGTGCTTACAGTCATATGATGTGAAAGAATTAGAACACATTACAATAAAAAAGAAGGTACAAATAGGAAGCCAGGAGAGAGATTGACCACTACAACCATTCATAAGGATACACATATAATACAACATTGTCCTCAAACATCCAGTAGTAAACTCCGTTTGGCAGAGTCCTGCACAAATCATGATTGCAATGAGAGGAGTGAGCAGCTCTGCATTTGAAGAGGCCAGACAGTTTTCAATATTTAGAGGATATCATCAATGGAAATTTATACTGAATAAAGTTCAGATAAACACAATATTTTATGGTCTACTAAGGAATGATACTTCACAGAACCATCAGGATGCAAGTTCTGATGAGGTTCTGAGTAATTAAAACCAAGAGTAATGTGTGTCTGCAGCAGCTTTCCATAATTTGGCATCTTCCAGATGTGCCAGGATCTCAATGCCCAACATCCCAAACCAGCATGGCTGGAAATCTGGGGAACTATAACCCCAACAGGGTTGAAGGACATTTAGCTCGTGGAAGGCCAATCTCCAGAAAACTATCCAACTGGGATGAGAGATGGAGTTACATACCCAAGAAGACAGAGAGTTAATATACATAGTGAATAATCTTGATTCAACCTCTCCAAGTTATCCATTGAAGAGAAGAACTGTAGTGAGAGTCCTCTGCAGATTAGAGGTTCACCAAGTGTCAGTGGATACAGAAACTGGAGATTCAAATATGGTGAAGATAAAAACAGTGCTTTGTTACATGGAAGACATTTAAGAAATAACCCAGAGGACTTAAGTCATATCAGTTAGACTTAGTTCTATACTTAAATAGGAGTCATGTTTAATAAGCTAACATCAGCAGTAGCAATTATTCTCCCCAAGGCCTACTTGAAACGATACGTAAACGATAGATGGGCTTCAGTTTTTAATAAGTAAGTCGCTCAGACTTTTGGTGTACTGCAACATGAAAACAAATCGGCTTGATGAATGCCTTTTCTCAATCAGTTCACATCCATTCCTAAAAAGGGGACATATCAGAAATTCCTCCTTGAGTTTATTCCGCACTCTCCTTTTCAGGTTGCATTTATGTCCAAAATTTGAGACCCAATTTTGGATAGTTCCAAACTGGTTTCTCTTCTACCTCCCCTCCTCCCTCTGTGGTCCAGTGGTTGTTTTCTGATCTGCAGATCACAAGCCTCAAAATAGACAGAGGGAACAACTGATTTTTTCCCCAGGAGTCAACATTTAGCAGGCATCTGGGGGATGTTTAAATGCCCATTCACCAGCCATTTCAATGGCTTGTACGAGATTGTCCTATGTCTCTTTGTCCTATGTCTCTTTTTCCACAATTGGTGGACCCACAAGTTCAGTCTGTGTCCACCTGGACAGCAGAATAAAGTGGTAGAAACTTGGGAAGCCCTTGAGAAGAATCCTGAGGCCCAGCCTCTTTCTTCCATGGTAAGGAACCACAATGAAGGCTTCCATGTGAAAGCACCCTTGAGAGAATCCCAGCTGCCATCAAGGAAGTTCCCATGTAACTTACATTTCAAAGGGCTGTTTGCTAGACATATTGTTTTTTAGAAGCACTGCTACTTGGGCGGCTGGACTGCCTTTCCTGAGAGAGATGGATTTCAGAGGCTCCTGTTGCAAAGAGATCAGGAGGCTTAGCCTGGTTTTGCAAGGCCAGGGTTTCTTCTGTGTTGTAGTTGGCCCAGTTCTGCTCACTGGAGAGCTTGTTGTATCCCTGGTAGGGTGGGGAATGCCTGTCTGCCATGGGGAGGTAAAAATCTGGTGGATAAGGCCCAGTTGGCATTTTACCAAGCTTTGTTGAGAAGCCATTGTCATCAGAGGGCAGAGGGGGAGCAGAGGATGGGGAACAGCAGTTATTTGTCTTTACCCTGCTGGCTATGTGCTTACAAAAGAGGTGGAAAAGCTCCAGAAGGTTGAGGACAAGGGAGATCAAGCCCATTACCAGCATGAAAAGGATGAAGATGGTTTTTTCAGTGGGACGGGACATAAAGCAGTCCACGTAGTGTGGGCATGGAGAGCCCTGGCACACATAGAGAGCATCCATGACAAAGCCATATAGGTACCACTGGCCAAGGAGAAAGCCTGCCTCAAAGATGGTCTTGAAGATCACACTGATGACATAGGTCCACATCAGAGGCCCACGGATTTTAATTCGGCCATCTTCAGCCACACAGATCTTGGCCATCTTCTTCTCCACTGTCATCAGCATAGCTGCCACCTTGTAATCTTTGGCTTGCAATGCCCGGAGTTCACTCTCCTGCTCCTTCAGCTTCTCCTCTTGCCGGGAGAGATAGATGACATGCCCCAGGTAGACCAAGGTTGGGGTGCTGACAAAGAGGAACTGCAGGACCCAGTAACGAATATGGGAAATAGGGAAGGCTTTGTCATAGCAGACGTTGGTACAACCAGGCTGCTTGGTATTGCACACAAAATCTGACTGCTCATCCCCCCAGACGGACTCCCCAGCTAGACCCAGGATCAAGATTCGGAAAATGAAGAGGACTGTCAGCCAGATCTTGCCGATGACTGTTGAATGCTCCTGCACCTGGTCCAGTAACTTCTCCAGGAAACCCCAGTCGCCCATCCTGTGCTAAGGATAGTAGAGAGGCAGGAATTAACAAGGGATCCATAATCATTTCATGAAAGCTTGAGGTTCCTACCAACACCTAAGTTACAGATGGGCAACCTTCCTGGACTGAGGACTACCTTGGCCTCCCAGGAGCCTTCAAGGGGTCCACAGGAAGATAAGGCTAGTGAATGGGACCATAATTCACCCCACCCCATTGCTGTGAAACCTCATTTTCTTCTCACAATGGCTGGACTCATACCCTATTTTAAGCTCAAACCAAAGAGAGTACATTATGGTGGTGCTTACACAACATTCTTAATTTGGTTATTGGAGGAACTCCTTGTCTAAATTACACTATAAGCAGCAAAGCCACAAAAATTAACCAAGTTTAAAACTAACTGAGTTTAATATGTTAGGCAAATACAACTGTCAAGTTTGAAATCGATCTGATTCGATGTCTTGGGGGAACACAGAATATAGCTGAGCATGATTTATGAATGGAGTCACATTTTAAAACGCTATACTCCTATTTTACCCAGCAGTAGGCTGCCAGCAGTTAAACTAAAGACTCAGAACCTTTTCTTTACAGCTTCAGCGGGCTGGAGCTGGGGACCTCATCCAAAGTGATGATGCTGAAATATTTTTTTTGCCTGGGTGAGTGTGGGTGAGTAGAGGAGAAAAGTGATGTGAACGAGTCCCTTTCCTTCTTTTAGTAACACAACACACACATGTGTGTTATAAACACGGCTTTAAGACGATCGGACTGAAAGAAATGCTCTTCTGAATAGTAGAGCGGAAACTTAAATAGGTAGGTGGGAGAGAAAGGACCTGTTTTAAAAAACAAGGGCTGTGCAGAAATGTCTTTTCAACTCTACAGTGTGGGCCATCAAGACATGACCTAAAGGAAACAGAAGAGGAACACCTGCAAACAGGGGCTGGGTGTGTTAGGCCTAAACTCCCTTAATTTCCAGCTCGCACAGCCAACCAGTTGTTTGGAGGATAACCAGATGGGGCAGCTGACCCCTTGACACAGCCTCGCCCTATCTGGTGTCCTCTAGAAGTGTTTTTTTTTTTTAAATAATTTTTATTCAAATATTTTTTACAATAATAAAAGACAAGCATGCAGTATAAAGCTATAGAAAAGAAAAAGCGCGAAGAAAGCGATAAGACAAGTCAGTGAAAAAAAGAGTAAATAGAGAAAAAGAAAACATCTATTAAGAAGCTGCTTCTGATCTTTACAGCAGTTACAAATGAATTTATCACCTATCCTCCCTCTTTAAGATTACATCATAATTCTCTTCTTCCCATCTTCTCCCTTTCCTAAATCATCAAATCCATAAGTCACCAATTCCATTTTTTTTTTCCATTTTAAATCACCAGTTCATTTTCTTCCCTTTTGCCTTGCCCTACCCAGTGCCCTCTAGAAGAGTTGAGCGCTACCTGGCAACTCTGCCAACCAAATCCTTCAGCACGATTTATTTATTTATTTGCCTACCTCTTCACTTCATTGTGATAAACGTCGTGTTGTTTCCATACATTGATGTTTGCATAATATGTTTAAAAACGATGAACGTTCTATTATTGAAATAACTTAGGACATCTTTTCTTTTTCTTTTTTTCTATTCTCAATATTCTATCAGTATGAATTACAATTTAGGAAGGCAGTATTACAAGTATAACATGATTAAGGTTTTTTTCATCCAAAGTTGAGTACAACATTGGAAAAGAACCACTACAACTCACATCAAAGTAATTGTTATATACTAGAGATTTCGATCTTAAGCTGATTACTTATTAAAGTCTCTCTTGTATTGTCACTTTGGGTGGGGGTGTGTGTGTGTAGATAGATATGTTTATTAATATTTAAAATGGGGGGAGAAAAAAAAAAGACTAGTATCCAGAAAGATGCTAGTTTATAAGAATGCCACCAGTTTCATGTGGTCCCCTGGATATTCTTTGAAGATAAAAAATGGTAGGGGTTGGGATCCAGTGCTTTCTTTGGAAGATTGCTCAAGAAAAAGGAGAGAAAAAGGTAGAATGGAAGCTGTAGGGAGCCCCTGAATGGGGTAGAGCAGGTAAGTAACTTGAGAATAACCACACCCATCAACACATGTTGTAGGAGTCCAACCGTGCATCACAACAAGCTTCCAACATTCCAGGTGGGCACCCATTTGCCCCAAAAACTTTATCTGTCCCTCTACTAGATCATCTGGCACACAGCATCCAGTAAATGTTGACTTTTGAAAGCTGCGCCAGGAGGAAACACATGTTACGGCAAAATCCCATATAAGTATCTCAGGCAGTACAAACTCTTTCATGACCTCCAGCTTTGTCAGGTTCAGCTTAACATAGGAGAATTAGATCTTCTGGGAAAAACAATACAGTCTGCAAGATGGCTTACAGTTCAAAAGGAAATTCTGGAAACCGAAAGGTGGTTTATTTTTGCTCTTCTTCCGGTAGGGGCCTATAAATATCTTGATTTTTCGAAAATGGTCGAATGGACCGTTCGCTTACAATAAGAGAAAGATTTAGGGGCCGCAACACTGTAATTTTTCCTCCGAGAGTCGAACACAACTGCCCTTCTGAAATTAGAAGTAGTGCGAAGGGTGGAGTTAAAAATAATTTGCATCTGTGCCCGGTCAGGAGTTTAAAAAAATGATTTCAAAGCAATCAATGATTGTAAAAGTCCACTTTCAAATAAAGCTACCTGTTAACTGGCTTAGATATATTCTCCGAAGTATGGAAACCTAGCAGTTTTACAGATGGGAGAAGGAGGAAGCATGAGGTTTTAAGCACGCCGTCATAAAGCCAAATGCATTCTCTTTCACCTTGTAAGAACTATTCCACTCCAGCGTCCCTGTTCTTCGTGATTTTCTACGGCCCTCCCTCTATGGCCCATTTTAAAAAGATAGAGAAGCAGGATACGGACCACGAATGGTCCAGCCAGTGCTTCGCTGGCATTTAAAGCCGCTGCTTTTAAAATCTCCCACCCAGAAAGGCAACGTAGGAGGAGAGCTGCGATAGTCTAGGGGGGTAGTTGAAAATCTGGTAATGTGCGCCTTTTAATAAAGCGTGTGGTTTGGAAAAGATGCCCCCAGACTCCTTCTGTCTCAGGAAGGCAGTAGAACTGGAGGAAAAAGTATCAAGCGATTAAAGTTACCCAAGAGACGTGCTGGCTGCCCAGCTGGGTCTGCGATGAATTTTTCTCTCTTTCTCCAGCCTCGGCAGCTGCCCAGAACTTACAAAGGGTTAGTACTGCCAGTGGCTTTGGTAAATGGGGGGGAAAAGCTTTTAAAAATTATCCGGTTTCTTCCTTTTAGAGTAGGTTGCTCTGTAGACAAACTTTTTCCTGACAGGGAGATAAACATAGCCACTGGCTGTCTACATCTCTGAAAGGCACAGTGGGAGCTGGAGGCGTTGGCAACCTGAACTGATTTGTTGTTGGTATGATTCTCGTTGGGTTTGCTCTTGGAAAAATCAGGACCTCCAGACAGAGGCGGGCATGCTTGGTTTTGAAGAATTCCTCGGGGTATGAGCACTAGCTCTTCTCCAATAAGTCAATGAGGACTAGTAACTTCCTTTTGAAGTTCTAACAAGCCAACATGCAGTCTGAAGAAAGCTAGAATGCTTGCCATGCTGAAGCAGAGCAGAAGAGGATGGCAAACTGACTGCTGCCTCGGATCTCCTTGATATGCCAGTCCGGTAGAGAAAAGCAGATGTTATAAATAAACCTTTCTCTTAAATCTTAAAATGGAATAAAGGCTGTCATGCCAAGAGGGAATAGTTTTGAAGCACCGAAATGTGAAAATCAGAGTTATCGTTCTTCTTTCAATCAAAGCAACTGCCTCCAGGGCTTTCACGTTTAGGACGGTTTAACAAATTTGAAGACGGTTGTACTCACCCACAAATCAAAGGGATTTTCCTGGCTTAAAAGTCCTCATCAAAAGTTTGGGGATTGGGGTTCTTGGTTTCAGCTGCGCTCCCGAAGAAAAACTGGAGCTGAGCTGAGATGCAGGACGGGAGTGAGTGCAGCAAACTCCCAGAATCCAGGGCACTTGGAGCCTGTTATGAAGAGTAAAGAAGGGAAAAGTTTATTATAATAATCCTTGGATGAGTTAACAGGGGGGAGGAGTGAGAGGAAACGAGTGGGGGAAGAGGAGGAGAAAAAACCTTGACTAGGCAGTTCAATTGTCTTTGGCTACTCTGACTTAACAAAAAAAGCAACTCACAGCTGATCAGGCAGGTGGGAAGAAGGAATAGCTGAAGGTGACTTCACCTGCCTCCTGGTTGAAAGAGCTTAGCAGGGTGGCTCACATCACATAGGTTGTGTGCACAAAACTCACGGAAGCAGGTCAATTAAAGATGTAGCAGCTGAATTTGCATACCATTCTACAGTAGTTTGTCATTTTGGCAACTTTAAGTTGGGTTGGTTTTTAATCCCCCAAATTCCCCCCGACCCACCACGAGGCCGGCAT